GGTTTCTAATTAGTGTTCAACATGAATCCATTCGTGATTCAAATGCAACTCAAGATCTCGGCAAACTGATTCATTTGTCTTTGAAATATCGTATTCTGTTTATTGATTCGTATATTTACAATATAAATATATTTTTGGTTGAAATTGTAGATAGTTCAATGGTTAGACCACTGTTAAGAACCTAGAAGTAATGAATGTTTGTTTCATCCTTGAATGAGACTCCCGAACAGTGTGCATCAGAACCGCAAAAAGTGGGTTCGTCCAACATTGGTTGGTTCGTAATTTCAATGAAACTCAACAATCTTTACAACCCTAAACCTGGCAAGTTGCAAATCGTAAATATTTCCAAGTTGCTTCTATAAACTCATCCATCTGAATCCGTATTTGGCTTCTAATGACCAACGTTACACAAGCGTGGAGTCGCCTAAGTATGATATACACAGAAAGTGTAGGGGAGATTTATTTCACGGCATACTCAAACGTTCTTGATGAATACTGAAATCGTTGTGCAGGCCACTGAACATTGTATGAAACGCCTCCCAGACATACCTACAAAAGTGTCATTTCGCATTGGTGTGCAACTTAATGTTTTTTGGGATGAGTCATTTGTAGTGTGTGTAGTTTATGTTGAGCCCATGTTATGCTCGTCACTTGAATGCTTGAAACTATTACGGGTTCACCTTAGTCGATAAACGAGAACGAGACAACGAACCAGTGTCCGGGTAGGCTAGCCTGATCCGTTGACCTGAAGGAGCTAACGAAGAAGCCATGATATAGCGTAGAAAGTGTATCCTACAAACACCCAGCAAGCACAATGAATTCAAGCACACGAATTGTATTTATTGTTACACCATAGAGACATCCTTGGGAGTCACAAAAATATCACACAAAAATAACACAGTAATCAATCAAAATCAAGGCTTTTCCTGATGGGAAATGCGATCTCAAGGTCGACTGATCAGTCCATGAATAAAATCCAAAATAAAGACATCTATTAACCCAGTTCTGGGGATCTAACATCCCCAACAGCCCACATGGTTTGTCTCTGCGTTCAGACGATTTAATTAATCCATCATTCTCGAGTTATATTATTCACGCTTACTTTGACCTTGTCACAATCATTCGTTCATAACTTAGTCGTCTTTATTCAAGTATGTGTGTGTGCGTTGATTGCTTCGTTTGTCGCATGTCCAGCTTATTTTTAGCTGACCATCAATCACTTAGTCATGACTTGTTATTACATTGCTTTGTCTCGCTTGTCATCGCCAATTCACTTTACTTTGCTTTTAAAAACTCGTCCAACCGAATCTGTATTCGGCTTCTCGTATTGCCACCGTCACATAAATGGGGGTTCCCCTGTAGGGGAGATTTATTTCACGGCATACTCAGACGTTCTTACTGAATATTGGATTCAGTCTGAAGGCCACTAAACATTGTATGAATTACCTTATACAAATAACTAAACAGTATGTGTTTTTTTCTACTTACCGGACTAAAATCCTTATCCATATTAATCATAATAGAATGAATTTCTCTTAAATCAAAATAAGTTAAAACATTTTCTTCCAGTTCATCTGGTACTTCCGGTATCGGTGGAATATGTGCTAGTCGTAGTTCGTCGTCGTCCAATTCGCCTGGTTCTGTGATTGGCTGTGGTAGTTGAGTTTCATTGCTTCCCACTTCGTCTTCTTCTTCTACTTTTCCAGTTTGTCCATCATCAATGTTGTTTGCTTGTTGAGCATCGTTTGTCATGATTATGTCCATTTGATTGTCGGCTTGTTCATTAATATCTGATTGATCAAGTTGTTTTGGTTGAATACTGTTGTCTTCTTCTCGTTGATTCGAACTTTCTATCGGTGGTAATGTAGTGGATTTTCGCTCTTCTTCAGTTTGATGTATGTTTGGTTTTTCTGGTTGATTTTTTCCTTGAACTGGTAGTTTTCGATAATCGAAAAAGAAAAGTTATAATTAAGGTTTTGGTGAAGAAAAAGATATGTACATTACAGGGGTTGTGAAGATTGGTAGGTTACACATTTTTGAAACCATGAATCGATCAATGTTAGACCACCATTAGAAACCTGGAAACACTGGACGGCTGTTGCGTCCTGGTATGGGGCTCCTCAGCAGTGCGCATCCACGACTCCTGCATCCCGCAGGATTCGAACCCAGGACCTTCGGTATTGTGCGCGAACGCCCTAGCCGTTAGACCACTGAGCCGGTATCTAACTGTGCTAATATCTATCTTGATCAAATTCACGGAGTTGCGCAACCTCATACACAGTCTTCGGTAGACACTGCCTACACCCGAACAGGTTGAACTTCACTAATCACGTCTTCCCACTAGAACTAGGAGAAGATTCCTCACGAATCTAGTCACTAGCGAGCACAGGTAATTTGCATTACGGGGTTGTGAAGATTGTTAAGTTAGACATTTTCGAAACCATGAATCGATCAATGTTAGACCACCATTAGAAACCTGTAAGCATCCACGACTCCTGCACCCCACAGGATTCGCAACCCAGGACCTTCGACATTGTGCGCGAACGCCCTGACCGTTAGACCACTGAGACGGAATCGCAGACGCGCACTGCTGAGGCGTCCCATACCAGGACGAAACGGCCGTCTCTCAGTGCTTATTCCAGGTTTCTAATGGTGGTCTAACATTCTCTCATCAAAAAGCGATTTTCGAGGGTTACAAACAATGTTCGTTATTAAGTCCTTATTCATTCACCTGTAACTCGGGAGTGAATAATCAAAAGTGTTTGAGTCTGTTTTATAAAGTTTTTTAAACCCATAAATGCACTCATTCTAAAAGATTTAAGTCTCTTTTAAGTAGGTGAACAATCAATATGGAAGAATGCCTGATTTAGTTTCCATGTTCAGTAATGATATGCTGAGTTTTAATAGCCAGTTAAATAATGTCTTCAAGTGATCGGTAAATCAAAAACCTGCCACGCGGTTGTATTAATTATTCGTATAGATCTTTTTCAGCAACACAGTGGGGGTGATGAGGTTATAATTTAAATAAACAGTTGGACACATTACGCAATTCACTTAAATGCATGATCTTGAGCAAATGACAATGGCTTCTGTTAAGCTTGTTCATAACCTGGAGAATGAAAAGTTCCAGATAATCAGGAGTGTTCATCAAAGACTAAATAAAAGTACCAAAATATAATCCTTGGAATGGAATAGCTTTAAAAATTTCAGTGAAATTATCAGTCATAGAATATAACCGAATGATTTAGCTTGATATTAGCATGAATTTATTAGTAGACAGTCAAAAGTTCCTTATGAAAAGATTTTTTTCCAAATTTATAAGTGTTTATGCCCTGTGAGTTAAAGTTATAATGCTAGTCATCAGTAAGAATACGTAGCCATCACAGCTAGGCTCAAATCGTTAGAAATGGTCGATCGGCTGAATATGTGACCTAGCACTCGAGATAACAGTGGTTCCAGTGCTTGGGGAAGCCGTACTTTTGTTTACGAAACCAACACACTTTCAAAGTCCTCTGAGTCTAAATTACTCTGCCATTAGTATAAATGTTATCAATACATTTCGTTGGAATAAGTGCTTGATGATGCTTATGATGCTTATATGCGTCACTGACTCTCTTCCATTATTGTAAGCGCGTGCGGTAATAGAATAATTAAGTTCTTAATATGAATGGGTAATAGCATCAATACCACTAACATTCAATAGTTAATCTAGCTGACCTAATGATTTTCAACGTCATTGTAGTCTTATGAGACGGCAGTCATGCTTTGAATTTCAAGAGACATGCTTGACTGTTTCGGTTATCTCTTATATCATTCATTTTGAGTTCTAAGTGCTAACAATGCTGTACGGTAATTTAGAGAAGCCACTATGAATAACTACCTATAGTTTCGATTGTAAGATAGACAATATTTTTTTAGATGCTCAATAATCTTGATGGTTCGAAATACTTCCATGTTTACTGACACGGATATGTTCGCAATATCAGTAACATCAATGAGTCTCAGTTACTTTTTATATTAAGGATTATAGTGTATTAGTGTTAATCAACTTAGCGCAAGACGTTCATCATTATCTGCCCGTAGCAATAAAAGCAACTCGAAATTGAATTATTAATGTATCTATTATGTATCATCTGTAAACGGCACAATTTTTCATAAAATTTTTTCGACTGTGCACTGTGAAACTTAAGTGTCCTCGTTGATCTGCAACAATGTACAGGAAAAAATCTAATTTTCGACATTAGATTTAGACATTCCTTCATTCCTAAAGAAATAAACTCTATCTACAATCATTGGTAGGCAGTCTGAGTAACGATTAGGACAAACGAGATCATCGCACATCAGAACAACTGTGCGGTAGGTCTAGCCGTCCTAACAGCTGCTTCCTACAGCTACGTACACAGCTGCACGTGAACTATCTTTGATGTTAATGACCTGCTAATTGAAGGACATTATTATCTTATTATATTGATGTGACTCATAACTTTATTCATTTCCATAAGACACGCTATATTGATCGATACGCTTGCTCGTTTTACTTGATAACTGTAATTTCCTTAATTATTGCACCAATCTAATTGTTTTTATGTTTAGAAATAGATAAAGTTTAAAAACAAATTGGTCTTTTGTTTGGCTATAGCTTTCCCATAGAATATGTGCTCAATATTGCGTTTACAGCTCTAGTAGTACATTTGTAGGACAAATTAAATCCCACACCCTTCATCTTCTATCCCTGAGAATGGAAATATTCATTCGACTGTAATATTTTTATTTTCATCCCTCAACAAACTATATCTCATGTACATTCCGCTCCAAACTGTCTGGTTCTCTGTCCTTGAATCAATTGGGCAACATGTACAGTGATAGCGTTGCCACCAGTTCTCGCACTATAACAGCCAGGGAAACTAGAAAATATAGTGGTATAGTGTTATGTAGATTTATTTCGACAGTGGCTGTCCTAATTGTTTCCAATAGAAACACTCCTGTACGTTCCTCCTAGGTCCGGGTCCCGACCAAATCAAAAGGGCAAAATTCTAGGAGAAAACGTCTCTTTATTATTATAAAATGGAAATACAAAGTCTTACGGAATTTGTGTTCCTTCCAGGGCTAAATTACTCCGCAGAGTATCCAACACAATAACTAGTAAGTGACACTAAGTCCAGCAGCCACCGCGTCCATCCAAAAATGTGGCGGTAGCCATATTATATCAAATTTAAACAATATATGTACAGTTCAGAAGCAAACACAAAAACTTCAATATAAGTACAAAATATAGAAAGAATAACAACATACAATGATAAAATCTCAAATTGGAATCAAATAAAATACCAAAAATGTCAAGAGAAAAAGTCCATCAGGTCATAGCAAAAATATGTAAACATGGAGGGATTTTCCAAAAACACAAAACATTCAAAAAGGATTCTACACCGGCCCGCAAAATCCCTCCATGCAAAAAGAGCAAGCGTTAATGACACTTTATTTAGGGTTCCCCGTTATCCCCTAATCCACACCGGAATAACGTGTAGGACTTACAGCTGTACGCCTACCCGCCATCCAACATGGATATGACCTATCGTGTTAACTAGGTACCTATACTTTCCCATCAGGCCCTTGATTCCCCTATCTATCGTGGAATGACCTAACGGTAGTATAAACCTTACCCAATTAACCCATACGAACATGAACAACACGTCGCAAAACTGGTCATATCCTATCCAAGGACTACATTCTCTATCATGGGGACGAGTCGCCAATCCACCACCACTTGCTCCGGTCAGCAGATACCATGAAGTCCGTGATGCTAACTTATCAACAGAAGTTTTTGACCCATAAATAATATGCAAGGGTGGGATCTCCAATTTTGACATTTCATCGTCTCCAGAAGACCTTAAGTAGCATGACGTAGGATCAATATTTATCCTTCCATCTCCTGATGCAGAGGAGGTTTGAACAGTATTCATCATCGTCGGTAACTCATTTGTCACATCAGTGACATCCAGTTTATTATCAACGTCTAATTGATTCCGTTCTGCATTAGCATCCGTTTCAGCGGCACAAGACATATGCTCAACAATAGCATCGTCATCACACAGCACTGTAGACTGGCTGTTACCATCAAACACTTTCTTCTCATCGTCACTCGACTGACAGTCAACCGTAATAGGAACAGTTACAGTTGCACAACCTTGTGCATCTTCAATCAACTTAACCTTCGTGACGAGGTCCGATGGCGTCGAAACACTAGGAGGCTCATTCGATGAAGTTGATAAACTAGTCCCTATAAGTGGACTTCTGACACTTTCTATCTCCTCATTATCACTGTCACTACTAAGGTTCTGATGGCTACTATTTCCATGGCTAGTCGTAGCATCCGAAAGAGCATGAGGTTTAGGCTTCTTAGTAATAATAATAATAATAATAATAATAATAATTTATTCTCAAATAACAAACATGTTACAAGAGACATGCCAATTTACAGGCAAGATCAAAATGTTAAGATTAACAACATATTTCTTTTAAAACGGTATACATTTACTGAAACATTTCACAAGATTCATTGTTATTAAAGATGGAATGTTCAATACGAATAATTGGCGCAAGTTACGAAGGTTGCGTTACGACAATCATCTTATGGACTGAGAAACGATTCATGGTAGAGATAGGTTTGCATATAACAAGAATTGATGCGGTAAATGTACAAAGGTATGGTTGATATTCATCAGCTAATGATTTTACATGTTCTTGGGTAGGGTAACCAAGTCTACTGCAAATATCCAGACTAATATATGAGGAGTGGAATAAGGTTCTGAAAAAAGAGGAATAAAGAAGACGGGACGAGGAGCGGAACAGAAAATACGTTTAAAGATAAAACAAAGGTATGTTTACTCAGACTTTTTTAATATCATTGCTGTACACCTGCACTTATGTAGGT